CAACCCAGTACCCCCCCCAGCTGACCCCCCACTGCCCACCCACAGGTCCAGGCACTCTGCATTCTGGTCTGCCTTTGCAGGTCCTGGCCGCCGCCTTCCTTCAGAAAGCCTGTCCACCTCCTACTCCGTCCAGGGCCAACAGGGCACCCTGCCCCTCCCGCCTGGCCTCCCAGCCCGAGCCTCGGGGCAGGGTACGCGGTGCCCCGGGCGTCAGCCTGGAGCGGCCATGCTGTGTGGCGTTCCACCCTGTTCCATGCTGGGTTGGCGGCTGATGGAGCAGATGAGTGGTGAAGTTCTGTCTTGGGGTCACAGAGCCACAGAGAGGCTGCAAGGGACCTCCAGCCCCTCCCGCCAGGCGGCCTCCTGTCCTCCCCAGGGCCAGCTCTGCCCGCCTCTGCCCTCCCAGGCCGCTCAGCTCTCTCCTGGGCCACAGCTGGGCTCTCATCTCAGGCCCCGCGCCCATCGCCTCCACAGCCAGGTCTCCCTCTGAGCTGACTCTCCACCACTTACACGACAGGGTGCTGGGTGCCTGCGCCTGAGCCCTGTGGACGGCTCTGGCATTTGAAATGGATCTTTTATTGGGGGTGGGGAAGAAAAAGCATTGAGATATAAATCATATAACCTGTGGCTCGTCATTTCATTTCGCATCCGCAGTTCCCTCTCAAGGTCGCTTCCCCCCCACACCTGTCTTTGTCCGTGTTTGCGTTCCACAGGTGTGCCACATCCACAGGCCACTTACGCTGTGGCCTTCTGTGTGGCCTACGTGTGAGTTTCACCCACACCGCAGCCCGGGTCAGGGCTCCGCTCCTTCTTGTGGCTGAGTAGTATTCCGCTGTGTGGCCGGACGGCGCCTCCGAGGAGGGCGCGCGGGTGGCTCCACCTCGGGCCTCAGCAGCCGCCGTGGATCGGACGGCGAGGAGTCGGGACAGTGCCCCAAGCACAGAGACACAGAGAGGTGAGGCTCCACCCCGAGGTCACACAGCTGCTCAGAGGCAGAGCTGGGATCAAATCCACCCTGCCTGGAGACGCCCGTGCTCTGGGCGGAGCGGGCCAGCGAGGTGGGCAGCACGCCTCTTCTCTGGGAGACAGAGGCGGCGGGCGGTCCTGGGCCCCGGCGTCCACACAACCCAGCCCTCCGCACACGTCCGTCACCCGGACGGTGGCTCAGATGCAGGTCTGGCTGGGGCCCAGGCCTCCCTCAGGCTGGGGTCTCTGTTCTGCCCCTCCGGGGAAGCGGGGCTCAGGGTGCGCGGCCCGGCTTCTCCGCTCGGTCCTGCGAGAGGCCTGGCGCCGCCGGCGGCCTGGGGCACTGTTCAGTGGCCAGGCCAGACATGTGCTGCCCAGCTCCCAGGCCCTGCCCGTGCCAGCGCGGCGTCTGCTCTCTCTGTGGGACCTGAATGTCTGCCATGAGCTCCGGGCCAGCCGGGCGGCTCCTGTCCAGTGAGGGGGAGGAGGCCGGCAGAGGGCCGGCGGCGGGCCTGGGTGGGGCTGCTCCCCTCTGCTCCCCCCACCCCGCACCCCGATCGCATCCAGAGGGAGACCCCATCTGGGGGCCGTGCAGGACCGCCTGCTGCCGCCGGTCCACTCAAGGCTGCCAACTTGGGACAGGCGAGTGAGTGTGTGTGTGTGTGCACATGCGTGCATGCGCGTGCACATGCTGTGAAATACTGCGTTTGTTTTGTTTTCCGTGAAACCCCTGTAAAATGGCCACCGCTGTCTGTTCCTCTCAGCAGACCTTTGGGGGCTTTGCCGCTACCCCATTCCCAGGACG